AAGATTCCTGAGATGGTGGGAGAGGACTGGATCCAAAGCCAGGTGAGTACTGGCCCAGAAGACAGAGGAAGCCCTCTACGTGTGGTGGGAGGACGGTGAAGAGTCCTGCCTGATAACTTTTCTAGGATAATTTTTAACTCTAAATGTCAAAGATACCAACATCACAGCACTCCCTATCGTAATCCCTGCTCAGGGTTCTGATTTGTAAATGACTGAGACCAATTTAAATAAAAAATGAATTTACTGCTGAGAATCTTGGAGAATCAGATTGGGAAACACGCTAGACGTGGGAGATTTTGCAGCAGGCAGGACAAGAACCAAACCCTGACAGAACTGGCCCACAGTCTGAGGCAACCCAGCATGCAAAGCCTTCACTGTGGCACTGCGTGATGAAAGCTTCCTACAGCTCCTGCTACCTCTGCTTCTGCCTCTGGAAACTGGAATTTCCTGCCGCCCTAAGGGATTCTCCCTGCCCTTTTCAGTGCATCTCCAACTCCCAATTCACATTCCAGGAAATGTGCATCTCACAGGCCATATTCTTTCATCCTGGCTGCAAAGGAGGCTGGAAGGTTATCTGGCCTGCCTGGTTTACATGGTGGGTTCTGCTTCTCTTGAAGACCTATATAATGGAGAATTCCCCCATCATAGGGATGGAGTTCAGAATTCTGGGGAGCTAAAAATGTCTACCAAGGTTGTTGCTGCATCCCGTGGAGCACCTTTGTGGGGATTAGTAAAAGATGCCCCAAGGAGGTAGATGAATCTTAGTGCATTAGCCATTGGAGTACCTTTGAAAGAATTTTTTTATAGTACCATTTCCTGTTGGGGGACTCTTTTCCTGAGTCAAGGTGCTCAGCTAGGCTAGCAGAACGTAGCTGGATATTTGTCCACATTTGCCCCTTAGCTGGGCATCCTTGTTCATGTTATAACCTACCCAACTACATGTGATGTTCCTCATGGCCCTATATCTGCCAAAGATAAAGGGATTAAACATGATTACAAAACCACATGCACAAAAGTGGCAGATCTAGGCGGCAGCACTGATCGCAAACTGTGTTATCCATAAGGACTTTATTTTACAACCAGCCTTAAAGCCATAAACTATTGATTCACAGTCAATTGGCAGATGCTATCAGAAAGGGGACAAACTCCCCTTTTTCCTTTTATTCTTACTATTTTCCAGGTCCTGATCTGAGTAAGTGCCGAAGTCTGTCCAAGGGTGATGAATTTAAATGATTTTATTTTGACTCAAGATTGAAGGGTCTTATTTGGATTTTCTGAGTACTGTCTTGAGAGATTCTTCTTAACAAGGAATTTTTCTTAGCGTAGAAAATTCTGAGCTGTCACACTTGCTTCAGTCTAGGAAACAGGACTGGCTTTAGGAAAATATATTACTGAGAAGTTGAAGGTTTGTCTCCTCTCCCTCCGCCTCGTATCCCTTCCCACCTCTCACAGGTCTTATGGTGTCTCTAACCCAAGTCAGGTATAAATTAATCATTTGGTGACATTTTGATTTTTTACAGCTGTAGAAGCATATGACCGAGAGGATGAATCTCTACTAAAGGAATTTAGGTACCAGTAAGCAGGAGAGGAAGGTTCTCTCAGGGCCAACCAAATCACCACCACATCCCAGGAAAGCCAGGTTTTTCCACATTCTGAGATTCCTGAAGCTATCTTTCAGAGATTCTCTAGAACAGAGGTGAGCCAGGGCTGGCTGGACCTCTTGGTATCACCCTAGATCAGAGTGGGCCCTTAGCAATGAGCCAGACGAAGTCAGCATCCAGCCCCTGTGAGTTGAGGGCTGTGGCTGGGCTAGGAATGCTGTGGAGGAGAAAGGGTAGGTGGAAATTCTGCCTACAGTACTGGGGCACATAAGGCAATCTACAGTCACTAATTTCAACTAACTTCAACATAAGAGGTAGACATGTATTTCTAACGTTTACATAGACGTCTGTATTTCAGGGTTGGTAGCAAATTGCTCCTATTGCATGTTCTGTCTTCCGTGTGAAATTTATATAACTAGAGTTATTCCAATTTAAACAATAGATATCACCTTTCTTCCCAGAATGAACTAAGTGTTTCTGAAATAATAATGAGAGTTGACACTTATTCAGTGTTTTCTATACGTCAGGTACTGTTGTAAGCACTTTACATATATTAACCCATGAGAACCTCATAAGAATTCTATGTGGTAGAGACTCTTGTTAGCATCCTTATTTTGCACTTGAGGAAACCAAGGCACAGAGGATTGGCCAAGGTGAATGGCAGAGTTTAGGTAAGAGATTAGACCTACTAAGTGGCAGAGATGGGTTCTGAACCTCAGAATGCTGAAAGAACACCTCTTGTTACTTCCTGTGATTTGATCCTCCAGTGATGTTGTTAGAAATGTTAAAGTCAGGTCTTAATGAGCCTCAGTGGTGGCTCCAGAATTTCTGGACAAGAGGCTTTGGGGCCAGTAACCCAGATGGAAGGGTGTATGCAAGGCAGGGTCTAGGCCTGTGTTTGCATGGAAAGCACACTGTTCTAAGTTAGCTCAGGTTTTTATCATGGGTGGCTTGTGGGATGGGGGAACATTACTCTCCAAGCTACCCTTTGCTGCCGCCACTGATAAGCACACTGCAAAAGGAGCATATTTAGTCTCCCACCACTTCCTTCAAATCTTCTCAGATATGATCAGCACATATGTATTAATGTGTATTGCCTGAAGACAATTCCTGTTTCACGTTTCCTGACCAGCCATGCTGAATCCTCTGGCTGTGGACAGCTTGTTCACTTGAACCCTTAATGGGCCTTTTTTCAGAAACACGAACCACATCGTCCAGAAGAAACAAATTCGGGGCACACAACCAAAGTGAATAAGATTTATTTACTGAAGCACCTATCCATTCCCATTAGGATCCCACTCCTGTCTGAATCTCAATTTCTAATGAGAGAAAAAAAATAGGGACAACTAAGAAGTTAGAAATAAACAGGCCCACAAATGAAACAACCTTATATACATCAATTGGTACCTGCATTTAGAAATTTGAAGAATGTTAAATTTCCTTTCACAAAGAGCATACCAACTTACATTCTCACGAGATGATTAAGAATGCCTATCTCCCAGCCTACCCTGTTTTTTAAATCAAACTTTTATATTTTTCCAACCAGAAAGGTGCAAAATGATAGGACTATTTGTAGTTATTTTGACTTATTTTAATCTAATTATGAGGAAAGTCAATTATCTTGTTTATATTTTACGTCCATTATGATACTGAGTTTAAATATTAATTTAAATTTTTCATTTTCTCTTAATCTCCTGTCACTGATATTGTTTCATATCTTTTAAAAATAGGGTTTTTTTTTTTTTTTTTTTGGAGAAATGCCATCAGCAGCAAAAATGTAACTGAGTAGTTACTATATGAATTTCAAGTGAAGAAGCTCATTGGACGATGAGTTAATAATGGAGGAAAAATATGAGGAATAATTATGATTTTGTTGGATGAGGTAGGAAGCAAAAGTATTCTAAACAGAAGCAGCAGCATGAGAAAAGGTATAGAATTGTGAAAATATGCAAAATGGCAAAAATGCGGCAAAAAATAAAAAAAGAGCGACAAGAATGCAAAATGGAAAGAGACAAAACTCGAAGCATAGCAAGGGATTAGATTGTACAACTCTTAAAGGCCATGCTAAGGACATTTATTCTGTAGAAAATAATGGGCCATAGTTTTAGCAAGTGGATGGGCAGTGGGAAATAACACTGGACCAATGGGGGAAAACTTTTGGTCAAGGAACCTAAATATAGGACCAACGCAGCAATCAAGTTGGGAAATGATGAAGGCTTGCACAGAGCAGAACTGTGAAAATGCTGAGAGGGGGAAAGTATTGCTCAAACTCTTTCCAAGATAGGATTGACAGGATTAATCCTAGAAATGGGCATGAGGAAGGAATCACTGATGTTTTCCTGTTTTTCTGCTTTGTTGACTAGGTAAATGGAAACACCTTTAACTGAAATGGATAACACAAAGAAAGATCAGATTCTTTGTGGGTGTGTGTGTGGGAAGAGAATGGGTGCAAAATAAGTCTAATTTTGACTTTAAGGACCTATAGGAGGTCAAGGGGAAGAGTTAGCCTTGTTTAATGTATTCACTCATTCAAAAATATCATTGAATGCCTACTCATCAAGGTCCTGTTCGAGGTTTTGGGGATAGTGTTATAGGAAAGACTTTACAGTCTTTACAGAAGTTATATCCTAGTGAAAGTAGCTAGAATATTAATTTCAGATGCAAAAGAAGTATATTTTACTCCCTAGATACAGAGGTACATGGAAGCCCTTTGTACAGTTAATATCTGTAGCACATATATGTCCCTCTCGACTTAGCATAATTTTTGTATTTTAAAATATTGTGGAGAATTACAGTTTTATTGTCTTTTATTACATACTGCTGTTTCTGTTTACCCATTGGAAACAAAGGTTTTGCTCAGCAATGAAATCCTCATTTATCACAAAGTTCATATAGGATAATGGGAAATAATTATAATGATTTGTTTGATGACATAGTCTTCAGAAAAATCAGTGGCTAAACAAAACCTCCCTAAGCCTCAGTTTCCTTGTTTGTTAATTAAGGGGGTTGCACAAATGATCTCAAATGCCACCTCCCTGAGCTCAGTCAAGTTTATCCACTGTGGTTTCCTTGTCCTCTACTTCATCCCTCTTCTCAACATCCTCCACATTCTTCCTCCATCATTCTTCTGTGTCCACCCCCCATGCTTCCTTGATCCCTGTCCCTCTGGGACCAACATTGGTGCTGCTGAGTTCTGTGGAAGAAAAACCTCACAATCTTGCATTTTAATGACACTATATAGTCTTAGTTTCTAATCTTAACTGAGTTCTCAAAATCGCCCAGCAATTCTTCTGAGCCTCTCTTGCAGCTTGCTCTCATTTCCAACAGTGGCCAGGTCAGGCTCTCATTGCTATTCACAAATCTCCTAAACTAATTAATCTCCTCTCTCTCTCTCCACAGATGATCTTGCTCACCTACTACACAGAGAAAACCCAAAACTCACCCAGGTAAACAATTCAGATGGGAACTCCCTCAAATTCAGGCCCTGAAGTCCACAGAGTAACCTGGTTGGCATCCATCCTTTCCTCCTTACCTTGTGGTCACAATGGAAGAAGTGCCCTCCATCTGCATGTGGCTCATCCCTCCCCATTGCCCTTGTATGCTCTGGGTTTCATCTCCTCATGCTTTCACAGGGACTTTTCTCTTCTGATCATGCCTTCTGCCATACCTACAAACTATCCCTCTCTAGGATCATTCTTAACAGCTATAAATATGCATAAGACTTTCCTTTCTTAAAAACAAATTAATAAATTAACCACCTTTTTCATCTCACATCTCCTTCTAGCTATCTCCATCTATTTTCTTTCACAACTAAACTTGAAAGAGTTGCCCACTCTTTCTACCTGTCATCTCCCACTCCCCCTTCAACCCTCTCCAGAATGGCTCCAGTCTCCAGGACTAATCCAAATGTGTTGAGTAAATGAAAATGTGTTTGACTGCTTGAATGAAATGAAATATCCCAGCTCAGTTTCATATTTTAAATAATTTATGGGGTTCTAAGTTAGTAAGATTTTTCTATATGAAGTGTATAAGCATATCATTCTTCCCTGGGGACGATTTACATTGGGTAAGTCATCCTAAGTACTCGATTACACTTGTTTGATCAGAAGCATTTCTTCTCTCAGAACTGATCATTTAATGAAATCTAGAGGAAAAAAGAAATAGTATCCTTTGATAGACCAGGTTTTGACTGAAAAATAACTCCATTCCATAGACTTGATATTTTGAAGTAAATATGGAGATGGATTTGAACTGTGGATGGTTGAAATTGCTTTCAACCTCAAGCCATTACCTCCCCAGTAGAAGTCATTGTCTGTCACAGATATGCCCGCAGGGTGTTTTTATTTTGGACTACAATTTTCTCACTAATAGAACAAGGCTGAAACATGTAAGTAAGGATGAGTTTGCAGGTCATGTACTCAGTGACTTAGGTCTGTTTATCGTGGCCGGATCCCGAACACAGTCTTTCTCATGGTCTGCATGTGAACAGCATGTGTCCTTGAGGAATAACACACTGTATACACCAAGAAGTCCTACGCATGTCACATAATTTCTTTGGATGATAGTAGCTGTTTCTTAAAATGAAACCTTCATCTTTCCTGCTTTGCTTGAAGCATGGTATTCACTTGTTTTATTTCAATGTGGCCTTTTCAAGTCAGTCCAGCTCCCTCTTACTATCTTGCAGTTATTTATCTTTCAGACATGATCCTTCTTAAGAACAGAGAAAAGCAGTAGAACCTTGCTGTCTTCAAAGAATCACAAAGAGAAGGGTGGCGCCCTTTGGTTTAAAAATATAAACAAATAATAAAAGCCAATGCCCTGTAAAATGGTGGCACAAGTCCCTATGTGGCCACAAACATTATTTCCTCCTGTCTACCCAGGGCTACTTGGTGTTTTAGGGGAACCTGCTGACAGTATCAGCTGCCAGAGTATTCCTGGCACCACATGGTACCAAATAACAAAGGAGCAAACACAGGCACTGTTGGCCCAGCGGCCTGGCAGGCTGCCGCCATGAATGCACAAAGAGCGGCCACACCATCGACATCCTGCTGTGTCTCCAAAACATCTCACTGTCTGCCACGCAGTCTCTCCTCCCTGACCTTTATCTCCGTGAGAGGGAAATCCAGTCTAGCACTGGGCATCAGAGGTCCACTGGATCCCTCGGAGTGACCTGGGGAGAAGCAGACACTCTCACGGGGCAGGGTACCGATCCCAAAGAAAAACTGCTTAAATTAACTCAAACTCTTAATCTGGCCAGGACTAGAGCTCCATTATATTCAAGGCACAGGTTGTTTGTTTTTGACGTTTTACTTTGTAGTCTCTCAAATCTGTTCCTGAACACCTGTCTTATCCATCACAATATGTTTCAACTAAGTTGTCTATAAATCCTACTACTCCATTAAAAAGTGTAATCTACTTTGAAAATGAGACTTTGAGACACATAGGAATGAAATGATTATACTAGCGGCTTCAGGTATAAAATTTCACTATTAGAAATAGAATCATTGCCTGCCTCAGGATCTGCCAAAGCAGATATTCAACAACTAACAGCTTGCCAGAGTTCTCGTAGGCCATAGGATGCCATAGAACCAGGCAGGGAGAAAGATACGGAAATAGGGGTAGAAAGGCAAAGAAATATAAACTGGGGGACTCTTGAAGACAGCTTATGTTGCTTATTTCAAATTCTTAAAAACTAGGGCTGGGTCCAACACAAAATTAAAATTCATAAAAATAGCCAGCCCACGTAATGCCTGATAACCTAGGAAAGCACACTTTTCTAATGTATTAATGATAAAGGAGAATAAAAGTTATCCTAGAATATGATTATACATTTGTGCACATTATTTTTTTCCTCGTCTTATGTCACATAGAGTGTTTTCAAAGCTGGTGGCATGAAGGAAGGAGGAAAGAAAGAAACTGCCCACATAAAGCCTGCAGCCCTTCAGTAGGATCGGGTAGTGTACTTCCCGTGTAGACCGGGCCCTAGAAACGTACAGATGTCTGGCTACGTCAAGAGATACTACTTGCAAAATTACTGTGTAAATCATAATTAAAGCAACAATGGTTTACAATCACTGGGAAAAAATATAAGTCACCAAAAGATGAATTTAATTTCTTGGCAGAAATTAAAGTGATGAAGCAGAAAGTGGACACTTCACAGATGCCATAAAACTCGGATTCCTTGTGTACGGGAGGTATGTCCAGGGAAGGTTGCTCCCAAAAGGCCCAGTGTAGCAGGTGTTATATACGACAGCCTGTGCTTCTATTTTCATTCCTTGTGACTGTTCCCTTACCTGGAGGATGAGGGGATGGGCCAGGTTGTATTGAAGAACTCACAGCTCCAAGTTCTAAGATTCTAGGGTAATCGCTGAGACGAACTACAGGGTTAAAATCTGTTGCCAGCTCCTGAACCAGCTAGCTTGCAAATGTGTAGCATTCACTGCATTTTAAAATTTGAATTAATTTCCAATATTTAAAAATCAGAGTGTATTAAAGAAAACTATGGATACACAACTTCTCTCGAAAACAGGACTGGCTACATCATTTTGGGAGTCCAGTGCAAAATGAAAGTGCAGGCACCTTTGTTCAAAAATTATTAAGAATTTCATGACAGTGACAGTAGAGGATTAAAGCAAGTGTGGGCCCTTCTAAGTGCTGGCCTGGTGTGACTGCACAGGTTGCATGCCCGAGAAGCCAGCATCAGTTGAAAATTGAGTTGGCAACTAAGCCTATATTCCTCAGTTAGCTCTCAGGGGAAGCCAAATGGTGGCTGCCCTTTTAAAATAGAGCCTGCCTTCTCACAGTTACCACAGCCTCCTTTACTCCCTTTATCTCCTACATTGAGGCCAAGTGTCAGTCAACAATCATCAATGCACTTGCTCAATTAATTTTTTCACCCTGACTTCACTGAGCTCATTTATACAACCTGCCTGGCCTCTGTAGAAATATGAGCTTGTGCCCTCTAATCCAAAAGTTGAAAGTGCCCATACAAAGAAGACATGCTCACTGATTATCTACTGGGGCAGTGACCCACTACAAGGCTTTTATTGCTAACTGAAAGCGGAAGTCACCCACACCCAGGATGGACAACTCTTTTTGTTCTAAGTCAGTGCAGTCAAGGAAGGAGGGTGAGCATATGTTGAGAAGTAGCTCAGCATGACCCACAGACACCTCCCTCCTCCATGATCTCCACATGACTTTCCTCCTTCAGGGGCGTTACATGGAATAACGCGAGACTGGAAGATGGGTAAAGCCCCTTTCACTCCAGAATTTGACAAAGTCTGTCATTTTATGAAAACCTGAAAGATTCTGTCCTAAAAACGAAAACAAAAATAATAGCAATAATTATTATTGGTAAGCACAAATACTAGTTTAAAAAATCAATCTTAAAATCAACACCCATGATATCCAAGTGTTGAATATCAGTTATTCCCTTTGACTCCATCTGGTGTACTTTGATGACTCTTTCTCCCGACAAGAAGAAAATGTACTCTTTGGGAACTTGGAGGATAAATCTGAATGGCTTAGCTCTTCCTGAATGCTAACATATTCCAAAATGATGTGCTTTGTTCTCTGGAGTCTCAAAATTTACCATGAGCTTGAAGTTTATTACAGACCCCACCACAGCTGCCGTTCTTCGCACTAAAACTGATTTGCCTGCTAAGAGCACATAAAAACGGAAGGAATATCTTTCTGTCAACAGTTTCTTTTTCTCTTTGTTTGACCTCAGTGCAATTCCTGGCACCATAGAGGATTTCATTTTTCTGGACCATTTCCAGGCTGGGCCTTGTTTCTATACAAGATTTGTTCTATACAAAACTTGAAAATGTTCAGTGGTCAGCGTTCTGGTTGATTCGTTCTGCTAGATTTCTCCCGTCTGGTCAACATTCTTTAGCTCATTTCCTGGCTGTAGCTTTGGCCCCCACTGTTGCACTCATCTAACTTAAGTGCTCACATGGTAAATGTTTGGTAAACACTTTATCTATGGGTCAATAAAAACAATAAATTTATCCTTTAAGTGACCAATATGATGAAACATGTTGCTTTTTAGTGCTTTTAGTAACTTTCTCTTTCATTATTGTTGCTCTTAAGCCAAGATAATTATGAATACCTTATGTTCAGTCACAATAGGTGCTTTTATAAGAAGTGCTTGAAGAAAAGCATTAATTTCCTAGAGCCTTGTTGCAGCTCAGGAAATGTGAAATAATTTGATAAAAATGTATTTTTAGCATGTCTCCATTTTTGCATTTATCTGTAATTAGTTCTACTATAATTTATGCATACTATTATAGGCATGTAAATTGCAAATATTCCTACATGCGTGCCTTTATTTTGTTCACTTGTTTGGAAAGTTTTTAAGAAAAGAGACTGTGGGGGCCAGCCCGGTGGCGCAGCGGTTAAGTTTGCACGTTCTGCTTCGGTGGCCCAGGGTTTGCCGGTTTAGATCCAGGGTGCAGACATGGCACTGCTTGGCAAGCCACGCTGTGGCAGGGGTCCCACATATAAAGTAGAGGAAGATGGGCACAGATGTTAGCTCAGGACCAGTCTTCCTCAGCAAAAAAGAGGAGGATTGGCAGCAGATGCTAGCTCAGGGCTAATCTTCCTTAAAAAAAAAAAAAAGAAAAGAGACTGTGAACATGCTTTTTCCTTGTAGCTCCTCTCCACTACACCCATGAAGCTGTAGGGCTCTGTGTCCTGTGTTTACCCCACAGATGTTAGAGATGAAGGAGATAATTCGATGACTGAAATACTTTAGCCACTCAAACTCAAACTTTCTTCCTCTTTCTCTTTTTCTCTCTTCAACTCTCACTGTTTAACTTATTACCCAGTTATTTGAGAATTTCAAGCTTTAGGACCCTATGTAATGTTGCTTTCTAAAAGAATGACTCTATTTTCTACTTGTGGCTCTCATACCCGGTCAAGCCAGGGTAGGGACTCGGGCTTCAGGTCTTCGTGACTACAGCCATCCCTCCCTAGCGCTCAGCCGCCTTCACCGTCTTTCCCACGTCAATCTACATGCCATCCTCAGACCTCTCAAACCGGAGTCTCTACCCTCACACTTAGGGTTTGACTTAGCCATCTTAAGTGAGTCTGACCTAATGGCTGACCTTTGTTAAGCTTTGATTACATATCATAGACTTTTCCAAGAACTTTACAGTGTAGATTATTTTATTCAATCCTCACAAAAGCTTATGAAGTAGGTATAAATATTACTGCATTTCATCGATTCTCTGACACGTTTATTTCACATTTCTGAAATAGGAATGTGGCTTAAAATGGAGTATTGGCAGCATTTAAAAAACCTTCCTGGCACATAAAATGATGGTGTACGTATCTTACGATCCATAGAATCTTAGATTTGATGAAATATAGTATCCCCATTTAATTGGCAAGGAAACACAAGCTCAGAGAAGTTAATCTAAGGCCATGAGGCCATACAGTCATATCCCAGAACCCAGTCTCTTGAGCGCTACCCCGCAACTCAGGGCAGTGATCCTTGTTACTTTTCTTTTGTCCATAATTTCCTTATCATGATTATATTTAAATGCATCATTTAAAAAACCAATGATTATTTTCATTTTGTGATTTAAAAGTTAACACATATTTATTGTAAAAATTTAAAAAGCAGAAAATTTAAGGAAGAAATATAAATCACCTTGAATCCTACTAATAGATTACTATTGCCAACATTTTGGTATATTTCTACTAGGCTTTTTTTGTGTGTGTGCATGTTCATATATATTTATAGCATTGGTAACATACCAGTGATGTGGTTTTGCATCCCTCTCTTCATTTAGCATTATATAGTGAGCATTTCCGCCATGTTATTACATATTCTATGGGTACAAGACTTTGGCCATCTAACTTACCACTGTAGGGTTGTACTATAACTGAACACTTAGGTCGTTGCCAAGTTTCACCATAAGTACGTGTGATGGGCAGAAGTGTCTGAAAAATTCAGAGCTCAGGTGGGAAACATTTCCCTAAAGAGAACACAAGTGGCTTCCTGTGGAGTTGCTATTTAGCATTGTTCAGCCTCTTTGGAGGGGATATTACCCTCACTAGAAAAGACCCAGGAAGTCAGTGTGTTTGACCTTGGTTACCATGGTAACAGGGCCTTTGCTCCATTTAAGTTCTGGTCACATCACTGAGGTGGAGGCTACAAACTGGACACTGCTTTCAGAGTTGGGTTATAGAGTGCGGGGCATCTAGACACTATAGATATGGGAATTAGAGACTAGGAAGTCTGATTCAAGCATTTTGAGGGCTCTTTTCTTAGTCTCATTTTCTTTTTACCTCTTCTCAGTACTGACTAGAGAGAGAGAAAATCAGCAAGTAATCATTATAGCAGAGCTTAGTCTTAAAAAAGGTCACAGTGCATGGAAGAAAGGGAGGTTTAAGAGAGCCCGTGGGAAGACTGACTCTTCCTGACAGCCCATCCACTAATCCTCAGAGACACACTTTGTACATGTTCCCACCTTCAGAAAATAACCACTGTCAATTGTGGCTTTTGTTTCCTGGGTACATTCATGTTTACTATTGTGATTAAAATGTGTGCTGCAAATTAATGTCTCTTGAAGACAAAAGGATATTTTCTCAGTATCCCCAATTAAAAGTCTTCTGTAACATCTTTTAATTTGCAATTGAATAATCTAGAATTCTCTAAGAAACCATGACTTTTTGTACATGAAATTAAAGCACCACATTATCTCTAACTGTTCTGTCCTCGTCAACACTTGCTACATGTCAGCTATATGTGTTACACTGTGCTCGGTGCTCTCAGACTACCAAGTGCAGTATTGCTTTCCCAAAGGCTACCAACTGAGGCAAAGCTTGAGAGTATACTAGGGATCAGGAAGATAACACAGAAGAGCGAACAGGGTTGCTTCCCTAGACGAGGGTGAGAGTCAGATGGATGACATATATTTGTATAACTAATGCTTTCTAGAGTCCACATTTCAGAAATTTCAGTATGGATTCTGGCCTAATTCTTATTATTCAGAATGAAATAATGAATATTTGTTTTGAGACTAGTGGGTACTGTTTTCCAGGGTGACTTTTACACATAGCTAAAGCACCATCCCTGTGCACAAGGCATTTACATTCTAATAAGGGGAAAGAGAGATCTCTGGAATCGCAATAACCCAAGGTGTCATCTGAGGGACGCCATCAGAGAGATCCAGCATTCAAAGGAAGAGAGAACCATTCAGTGAAGGACTAAGGAAGGGCTAGGCTGTGAAAGTTGATTAGGAATTTAGCCCTAGACATTGGGCAAAAGGAACATGATGAGAAAAGACTCCAAAGGGGAAAATATCAGAGTGAATTTGGGAAACTGCAGATTCTGGGCTGACTGCTGAACAATGTGAAATATTTCCTATGTATAAGCCGGACCAATTTTCTCTTTAATATTTCAGTTTCAGTGAATGTACCACCAATTTGAGAATCCCTCTGAAGTTCATGTGCCGTGAGATGTAGTATATGTATACGTAATACATAACATAGGACCAAAGAGAAAGAACTAAGCCTAACTTATTTTTTGACCATGCCTGTTAGCTAAAAGAGTTAAAAAGGCATGATCATCATTTTTCTCTCTTCTCACAAATTGCAGATGCTTTCTGAGATAGTTAGTAGACTTTGGCTGAAGAGAAAGAAAAGTTTTTGGAACTACGTAGTTTTTAATTTTTTATATCAACTTCACCAGTAATTTAAAATCTGCTTTTCTCTGTTTTGTGAAAGAAAAACACATACTGACCCCTTTAGACTCCTGAAGCACTGAACAACACATTTCCCCCCACTTTATTATTGTGCAATCACATTTTCTTCACTCATTAGATGGTGGTGTTTTTACAGGTTGAAGACACTGCCAGCTATGTTACCTCCCCCAGAGACTTCAGCAATTAGCAGGCGACCCTCAGGGATGGGACCGTCAGACTCCACCCAGGAGAGCTGGTTGTTTGCACAAAACTGTTGCTCCCTTTGAAAATTCTCCTGGTGAAGATTTTGGATTGTTTTTCAGTTTGAAATTTTTGCCTGCAAAGATGCTATGATTACAACAAATTTGCATGATTTATGAAGTTTGTTTAAGCGTTGTAATAATTAAAGTTTCACTTTTTGTTATAGTGATTTCCATTTTCTTGACTTGATCTCTAATTAATGTTCTCCTAATTTTGGATGCATAGTAAAATATGCATTTTTTGAGGCATGATGGAAGAGAAATTTTCAAGGTCTCTGTCTTGCTTGAAAATTAAGGAATTTTCTGAGAGACAGAGAATTCAACCTACTTGTTTTCATACAGCATGTTCTAACACTATTATGGCTAACTGCAGTGATTTGATCTTGCATAGCTAGAAAATTAGCTTTTTATTAAAGGTTTATTAATTCTAAGAGCACAAACAACAGATCATTTGCAAAAAAAAAGTGCTGGTTTCAAGCATTGGAACTCTTTGAAGGGTCATAGAGAGAGAGCTTTGCTTTGGTAATGAAAAAAATTAAAAATTTTCTTCTACCTAAACAATCATTCAAGCAATATGAAGCATTTGCTATATGTAAGAAAGTAAAGAGTAGTAAAACACGTAAGCAGAGTATGCAGAAGACAACGTCCCTGCCCTCAAGAGGCTTACTATTTTGTGTTTATAATATAGTATAAACAGAGACAAGAAGAAATAAATCAAAGAAGTTCAAATCGTTATATACTTATTGAGCATCTAATGTGCTCAACATTGGATACTAGGACAGTGAATTAGAAGCTTAAATAATTTTGAAAGTTATGCCTACTTAAAATACAATTTTAATAAGATAATTCAAACAATAAAAGTACTAGAATAGAGCTATAAATTAGGTGCGTTGGGAGAATTAATTAGCTGATTATCTACCATCAACCCATTAGTGAAAGAGAACAAGTCAGGACTGTGAAATGAGAAAGAAAGAAGGAGTGTATGAGAATGTTAACACTTGCATTTTGCTCGAAGCCATATTTTCAGAGTGAGAACTACAGAGGGAGCGATCAAAAATAAGATTCTCTTGTAAGAAGAGGGCCAAGCTTTTTTAATGTGATCATAATTAAATTTTTCCTTCAAATTTTATCATTCTGCAGAATAGCTCTTTTCTTTTGGCTAAGTTGAGAATAATTGCTTTAAAAGGCTGACTATCTTGGCTACCATTTCAACAATCAGGAGCTTGAAGCCCCAAGGGGGCTCGCAGTGGCTTGAGGCTTGGCCAGGGCCTGCTGGCACGTTTAAAATGACACGTGTGCACTTCGTGATAATTCACAGATGCTCAGGCTCTCAAGTGTTCTTCTGTTTGGTTGTTCTTTAACTATATATGAACAGCTTATAAATATCTATCTACAAATAGTTTGGGTTTTGGTGATTTAATTCATAGGCTATATCAATTACCATCTTGATGGGTGTACCGTTGATATATATTACTAATAAATTTTAAATCCACTTTGTTCCAATCCCCAGTTGCATTTTCCAAGTTTCTTTTCTCCCCAGAAGCAACTACTACTTTGAATTCTTTAGTCATTGCCAGATTTAAAAATTTTTTGTTATTCTATTTTGTTCTATTGATTCTTTTACATGTACTTTTACTGTAGACATTTTATGCTTTATTGTTTCATGTGTTTTTTCAATTTCACATTAATCCCATTATACTATCTATAATAGCATATATATATTATATACTCTATACTATTATATAGTTGTATATACTACTATATTATATTATATACTCAGTTATATACTCTAGTTCCTATATTTTCACATTAACCCTTATTGTTTTTTAAACACATTTACTTGAACTAACAAAGTTTAAAATCTATCAGTATCTTTACATCCTATTCCAAATGCTACAAGGACTTTAGAATTCTTTAACTCAAAGCTCCCTCCAATGCCTACAACCTTTCATGTTCAGGTTGTATAAAATGATAATTGCATCTTCTTGCTTTGCTCCATCACCAACATTTTATTTCGACAGATGTCAAACCAGTAGAAAAGTTGAATGATGAGTACAAGAAGCACCACATACCCTTCACTTAGGTTCAGAAATTAACATTTTTCTACTTTTGCTTTCTCTCTCTCTCTCAAGTATGTTGCTGACATCATGGCATATTATTCCTATATATTTCAGCAAGCGCTTCCTAAGAAAACAACATTCTTCCATATGACCACAATGTCATTATCACATCCAAGAAATTCATATTGATACAAGAATATTATCCAATATCCAGTCCATATTCCAATTTTTCCAGTGGCTCTGAAAATAGCCCTTAAAAGTTTTTCTTTTCTAAATCCAACATCATTTCTTTTTTGTTTTCTTTTTTTGGTGAGGAATATTCGCCCCGAGGTGACATCTGTGCCAATCTTCCTCTGTTTTGCATGTGGGTCACCACCTCAGCACACCTGACAAGTGGCGTATGTCCACACTTAGGAGCCAAACCCACAAACCTGGGCTGCCAAAGCAGAGCATGGAAGCTTAACCACTACACCACGGGGCCAGCCCCTAAATCCACCATCATTTCAAGGATCATGTGCTGCACTTTGTTGTCATATTTCTTTGGTCTACTTTAATCTGGAGCAGTCCCTGCCTTTTATTTTCTTTCATAATCTTGACATTTTTGAAGAGTTCCAGACAGTTATCTTATAGACTATCTGAGAGTCTGGATGCATTTGATTATTTTTCCTTGTGATTAGATTAAACATTTTGGGCCAGAAGCCTACATAGATGACATTTCATATTTCTTATCAGAAAGAACATAATAACATGTTGTTCTATTACTCATGATTCTAGGCTGGATCACTTGGCTAGGGTGATGTTTTCCAGATAGCACCATTGTAAATGTCTTTTTCCCCCATTTTTAATTAATAGGTAATCTGTAAGGGCCCCTGTCCTTTAAGTTTTTCATTACAGCATACTAGATAGCAGAAAAGTACATATCATTAGTGTGTTGCTCTGTGAAGTTTCACAAACTGAATGCATCCTGTAAGTAATCAGCCTCTAGCCTGAGATGTAGACTCTCACCAGCACTTTAGAAGTTCCCCTCACATCCTCTTTTCAGGCACTCCCTCCTTCAAAGGTAACTACTATCTGAACTTCTAACATCATAAATTGATTTTATACTTTCACTAAATGTAATCACACAGGGCTACGTTTTCACACACAGCTTTTTTCTTTCACTCAATATTATGTTTGTGAGGCTCATGTGATTAGTTGAATGGTGGCTGTATTTTGTTCATTCTTATTGCTGTTTAATATTCCATTGTGTGAATATATGAATAATTTATTCATTCTCCTGATAGGAGTTTTTGGGTAGTTTCCAGGGGGGATATTATAAATAGAGCTTCTGGGAATATTCTGGTACGTTTCTCCTGGTTAGATAATTGCTGGGTCACAATGTTTGCCCAAGTTCAGTTGTCAAAGTGATTGTGTTAATTTACTTACTTACGGGAATGTTTAAGTGTTCTAGTTGCTCCGTATCCTTGCCAACACTTGATATTATTCGTCTCTTTCATTTTCGCCATTCTAGGGAGTGTACAGTGGAGTGCTCCCCTGCTTTTACAGCTCTCTAAATTAATGTATCTTAAAACATTTTTAAGCAGTCAATACTAAATTATATTTCCCAAAATATGTTACCTATTTCTTTGTTCATCATTTATTTTTGCATCCAGCTACTGGTTCCTTGATTCAATTTGCTTCTTGAAGAAAAACATGAGAAGTTCTTTCAGTGGGAAAATAGTATAATCTTTCTGACTCTGTTTATCTAATTATTTTATTTCACTTTCACCTGAGTGATAATTTAGTTGTGTATAAAATTTGAGGATGACAGGGGCTGACCCTGTGGCCGAGTGGTTAAGTTCCTGTGCTCTGCTGCAGGCAGCCCAGTGTTTCGTTGCTTCGAATCCTGGGCGCGGACATGGCACTGCTCATCAAGCCACTCTGAGGTGGTGTCCCACATGCCACAACTGGAAGGACCCACAACAAAGAATATAATACAGCTATGTACCAGGGGGCCTTGGGGAGAAAAAAGGAAAAAAATTAAAATCTTTAAAAAAAAAAATTGGGGGATGACAATTATTTTCTATCAGCCTAATAAAGGTTTTTTTCCCATTGTTTCTGCCAGTCATCATTGTTGATGAGAAGTCTGCTATCGTTTTGTTTCTTTGCAGGCAATATATCTTTTCTCTCTGGTGACTTAAGATTTTCTCTTTTTTGACATTGATTTGTCAAAAGGTCACATCATTGCCTTTTGATATTTTACTATGATGTGTCTATTTGTGGACTTTCATTCTTTTTGCTGAAAACGTGATGAAATCCTTGAACTTGGAGGTGTATATGTTTCTTATATGCTACAATATTCAGATTCATTATTACTTTGAATATTTCTTGTCCTCTCTTCTCTCTAAAAATTCTTAGTCCTTTTCATTCTTTTTTCTATGTCTTAAATTCTGTTTCATATTTTTCATTTATGTATTCTTATATGCAGGATACTGCATGATTCTCTTGCATCTCTTTTCTAATTCACTTATTCTCTCTAACTACATTAATTTATTGTTAAATTTGCCCTTTTAAGCTTCTAAAAATTGTAATTACTCTATTTTCATTTTTAGAATTTCTATTAGCTTATTTTTCAAATATCCCTATTCTTTTTTGTATCTTCCTGTTTTTGTCTTATGGTTTTCTTTCTTTTCTTCTTGAATTTTGTAAATAATTTGAAGTCCTTTTAAAATTGTTCCATTATCTCCATTCCCAGTGTGCCATGACAAATAGAAATGGCAAGCAATATGACATATTGGAGTACATGAGGAAGCCATTTGGTGTAAACATAATTTGGCCTGACTTTGTTTTTTCCAAAAGGGCCTGACGGTGGCCGTTGAGCACACATTGTATATCTGCTTTAAACATTTACTATGGCAAGAACAAATGCCCTTAAGATAAAGGTGCAACTTCCCCCACCTCCCCCCCGCCCCCAACATTGGCATTTCCTTAAGGATAAGAATCTTTCCTTAGGCTAGGAACTGATTGCTGCACTCGCCTTTGACCACCCAGCTGGAGACCACAGACC